TACAGCACCCTGCCAATGCTCCCGGGGAAAGCAGCAGGAGATGGACCAAAAGCTTGGATTCCATGGGAGATCAGGATAGAGTGGCTGGCTGCTGGCTTTGATCTGCCAAGCCCTAACACTTGGCCAGTGAGTGAATCAAAGTCATCCAGTGAATGATTCAAAGGGTGAAAGATCTCTCTATCAAAATGAAATAAAAGCAATTAACCTTTGCTGAATGTCAATGTATCACATCCAACACAAATTAAAATACAGAAGTTCAAATCAAGTATCTCTTATATTTTAATGACAGATTTTGTTTTCAATTGCCTTTTAAAAAACATATTATCCTGTATGTATGTCTACAACCGTTAAAACATTCCCATTTGCTTGAAAGAGAGCATCCACAAGATGGCATGTACCAGAATGACAAGAAAGCTCTTTGATCTGTGGGAACTCCCCAAGTACCTGCAACAGCTGGACGGTGCCCAGCTAAGCCAACCTGACCCAGAAGCTAGGGACTCTATCTAGTTCAACCAGAGTGCAGGAACCCAAGTACTTGAGCCATCATCTGTTGCCTTTAAGGAGGCATTAGTAGGGAGTTGAATGGGAAACAGAGTATCTGGGAATTAACCAGCATTTGCACATTAATGCAGGCATTCTAAGCAATAGTGCCACAATGCCTGTAACTTTTTTTATATATTTTTAAAATTCTTTCTATTACAAAGTCAGATATACAGAGAGGAGGAGAGACAGAGAGGAAGATCTTCCGTCCAATGATTCACTCCCCAAGTGAGCGCAACGGCCGATGCTATACTAATCCGAAGCCGGAAAACAGGAACCTCTTCCAGGTTTCCCACACGGGTGCAGGGTCCCAAAGCACTGGGCCATCCTCAACTGCTCTCCCAGGCCACAAGCAGGGAGCTGGATGGGAAGTGGAGCTGCCGGGATTAGAACCGCTGCCCATATGGGATCCTGGCGGGTGCAAGGCAAGGACTTTAGCTGCTAGGCCATGCTGCCGGGCCCAATGCCTGCAACTTTTTAATGAAACTTTTAGCTGCTGCATCAAACTAAGTTAGTAACACACAGCATGTTTCCTAAAGCACAGGTTGGTTCCTACACTGGCATACGGCTATTTACAGCAGAGAGAAGATTCCTTAATAAAAATGTCAACAGGTTCATAGCACAACATGCTTCACTGGATGATAAAAAAATTTTTTTATCTGTCCTATGGAGAAAACAGTGTGTAACAGAATATGAAGACAAAACAAAACTGGAGTGGTACATCAGAATGTGAACACAAAAGGTCCACTCTATCCACTCAGTATGAAGCCAGACAGTTCTTCAAGATAGGTTCCATGACCAAGTCCCTTAAAAGTTGAGTCCACATAATACGATACAACTGAAAATGAAAACCAGAATTGGAAAAGATAACCAATATCAAAATTGTAAGATAAACTATTCAAGAACACACAATTAATTAAGCATATGGAAAAGAATCTGAATAAAGCAAAGAAAGCAATCCAAGAAATGAATGACACCATAAAAAACTGAATATCAGAATTATAGGAATTCATGAAAGCAAGAAAGAGAGGAAGATTTAAAAAGATACTCAATGCAATTATAAAAGGGAACCTCCCAAACATTGGGAACATAATAGGAAGCCAAATATAGGAAGGACAGAGAACCCTAATCAAATTCAATCCAAAAAGACCCAGACACATCATTGTCAAGCTCCCATCAACTGAACCAACCACCAAAAATGAATCAGATAACACAAAGGGAAAACCAATCAAAATCACTGCCAACTTTGCAGAAGAGATCCATCAAGAAATAAGAGAATGAAGTAACATTTTTAAGATCCTAAAACAGAAAAACTGTCAACCCAGGATGATATATCCAACAAAGCTCTCATTTGTGTTTGAAAACAAAATAAAATATTTGCAGCAATCATCAAACATTTAGAATATGTAGGATATAAGATATAAGCACAAACAATTCCTAGAAAAATCATCAAAAGCAAATGAAGTCAAGACTTTTATACTAAGTGAAATGAGCCAATCCCAAAAGGTCAAACATCATATATTTGCACTAATACAAGGCAACTTTCATCAAAAATACAAATAAGTAAATTGATAAAGGAGAAAAACACATGTGTAACCCCACAAAGGGTGTAATAGAGACCAGACTACCAGGAATCAAGGAAAATCAAGAGTGCATCTCTACTAAGGAATGAAGGTTTGCTCCCAATGATACTTCTAAATATACCTAGACATCAAAAAATATTCTCTTTGCCAATAGTGTCATGACCCACATAAGCAGGAAAAAGTTGGAACCATTTGTTTTTCATCTCTAATTTTAAGTGTCTGCTCCCTCATGATGTTCATTGTTAACATGACTGAAGAGCTGCTTTGTTCATCTTTCTTAGGAATGGCCCTCTCATGTTTTAACCTGCAGGGTTTTTTTTGGTATTAAGTCCAATTATTATTGCTGTGAATTTTACCTTTCTGCACTTCCTAGTCATTTGTATATTTTTCAATAAGTCCTTGTGGTGCATGAATAGTTCATCCGTAAGAGAATTTTGAATTTCTTGTAAGCAAACCACCTGATTCTGTTTATGTTCCTTTCAGCACTGTTTTTGCTATATCTCATAGGCAATAATATTCCTGTTTTTATTGTTATTCCTTTAAGCTCCACATCGGTCATGCAGTAGCATCAATTTCTACAAGAAGGTGTTTTGATTTTTTTTTTTTTCATCACTTTAAAGATGCATTAGTAACTCTGTAGCAACAACTCTGTTGTTTTTCTGTTTTTCTCCCTTTTGCTGACTGTGTTTTCTGGCTGTGTATTTAAGGGGATGTATAATAGAAGTGTCGTCAAGACTGACATGTCCAGATGTGGAGACATAGTGCAATGTGCATCTCTGCATCCAGACCAAAGATGGACTCCCAGTGAAACAGTTGAATATATCCTGACAGTAGGATGCTCGAATCTCCGGCATTGTCCATGCCTACAATGTTGGAAAAGACTTCAATAGCAGAATGATGGACTTATGACTGTTCATGAAACACCATCCATTTTAATACTAGAGGAGAAATCAAGGGGGGTTGAGGGGATTTGAGCCAGACAGAAGATCCCAGAGACTATGGTACTGTATCATAAAACAATTAAAAAAAAAAACCACAAATGCAAGCAATAACATCTAAAATTTAAGGTATGTTTATAGGCATGTTAATACACAGAAAAGTAATTTATAGATACATATATCAACAACATGCTTACATGTCTAAAAGATGCACAGAGGTTCAGCCTTACTGTTTTAATTTTTGCAATTTTGAGCTTTGGTTGTACCACTTCTTATCCAGCACCCTGCTAATGTGCCTAGCAAAGCAGTGGAAGATAGCAAAGCACTTAAGCCCCTGCTACCCAGAGGGGTAACTTGGATGGAGTTCCTGGCTCCTGATTCAGCCTGGACCAGCTCTAACTGCTGCAGATATTTGGAAAGCGAACCAATGAGTGACATGTCTCTGAGTCTCCTTTCTTTGTTACTCAGCCTTTTAAATCAATTATTTATTTTAAAAGACTTGTAGTGATTAGAAGCTAGGTTTATAGTTACCAATTTTGGCTTTTCATTTCAATTCTGCATAACTTACTATAATGGCCATACTCCATTTTCCTCATCTCCCTCCTTTACAAAACCCAGATGAGAATATCTTCCTAGGGAAGATGAACAGTAAATGTTCAAAATTAGTAGCACAGCACCTATTAGCCAACAAATGGTAACCATCGGGGTGCTTTTCCTACCCTACCACTCAAACAAAGGTCACAATTCCAAATCATCCTTTTGCTAATCAGTAAACCTCTAAGTAATTTTTTTTTTAAAAATTGTATTTCCGGAGAATACAATCTAGTGAATGTGAACAATCAAGCTAATCATGTGAAGTCCACCAGGCCTGTGAAAATTAAACAAACCTTTAGCTATTTGGTTAGAGTAACTTGCAACTGAAATACAAATGATGTAGTTTTAAAGAGAAGCTTTAATCATCTAACTTCATGGAAAATGTCCGTATTTGTTGGTTTGTATTTCAGCATACTATACTCAGTATAAATTATCATTAAGTTAATGCATCTTATGTTAGATATTCAATGCATAAATTTAAAGTGACAATTAGGAATCATCTAGTATGGTCCAATCTAGACATTTCAAAAGCAAAATCTTATTCCCAAAACAGATAAAGATAAAAGCAGAATTCACTTCCACATATTAAAAATCACAGCAGTCATAGAAAAGTCTACAGAATAAATGAAACTAACAGGATTTGAAAAACTTTAACTTACTGCCCATATTCTTAAACCATTTAAACCTTCTGCTGACATTTTTAATATTAACCAAATGTCATATCCCACCAATTAAAGTCCATTTTACATATGTGTATTTGTGTACATGATATTGTGGGATTGTTTGTGTATGTGTTTGCACTTATACAAAAACATACATGTGCGGATATTTAGATTTTGTTCCTAACAAATAAACTTTTCTACAAGCATCACATCTGTTTAGAAAAACTAACGGCAAACCAACAGAATTTGTAGACTCAAGCAAATATGCTACCTGGGCTTACTCTATAATTTTTATTACAAAAACAAAAGGACAGCAGGTGAAAAACAGGGACTTTTCCATCAACAGCAGTAATGGTTGACTGGTTCTCAAATATTCTCCCATGTGGCTTTATAAGGTTATTTCAACTAAGGTATGTTTTTCCAAAATTAATTGCAACAATTATATTTCCTTAGACTATTAAAAAGGCCATGACTGCAACATGAGTATTATAGCTACTATTCTGAGAGTGGAGTACTGAAAAAATTTAACAAAACCATTCCTATTTGTTATATTTAGTGGAAAACACACCAGAAAGACAAGACTATTAAGCTGTAAGTAAAAACACCAATAATTTTAATAAACAAAGCACAGTTGGTACAATAATCAAAACACATCAATTTGCAATTAGTATAACAGAGCTCACCTGTTCATTTTTGCATAACAGCACGCTGCTTCCCCTTAACACAGTAAAAATTTTGGCTTTATAACCTCTCAATTCAAGATATCCACATTTCTCAGGTGCAACGACTGCTTGAGACTGAGAAGTAAGGGACTGTGTTTTCAGTGCATTTAACAGTATACTGATCCAGTCATTCCTCTCCTCTGAAAACAGGACAAATACATAATATTAACATTACATAGACAAGGAAATGTGAGCAAGCCATCTATTCTCTTTGCAATGGATCATTCACAATTTCTTTCTTATACCTTGATCTAAATGTTAGTGTAAGAACAATGGTCCAAAACTAGGAGGGGGAAAAATACTATTTAGTTGATTTGGAGCCAGTACCACAGGCTTCATCTAAGAAGCTATCAGAAATGCAAAACCTCATCCACACTCCAGACCTGAAGAAAAAGAATCTGCATTTTGAAAAAAAAAATTCAAGTGATCTGTATCCATGTGAAGCACTCATTAGATTATCCAGGAGATCGGGTTCTCTCTCTTCATGGAAGAAACTCTTACAGCTATCCAACAATGAGCAGATTCTAATTGGCAATTCCAGGTACTCAAATACTCAAAAACTCTTACTCCCTAACCAGCAATATCATTTCTGCCAACTAATTAAATCTGGATTTCTATTCTTTTCACAAAAAACAAGTGACCGTCAGGTGTGTACAATACAATATGCTATCTTTATAGGAATCTGATCTAGTTCCTAAATAGCATTGCTTTAAGTCAACTTAGAATTGAACATCTGATGAACACAAACTGACATGATAAATGTCATACAACTGGTATCAAAAATCTTAATCAGTTCATTCAAGGAAAGTGATTTGCTCAAGGCCAAATAGCAAGTTAGTATTAAAATAAAGAGAATTTCATGTTTTAACTCTCATGCAACTGTTTCTGGCACCACCACAGAAGAGATATTGGGCCAGATTTTGAGAAGAAACTCACAGAAGTCTTGGAAGGGAAAACCAGACAAGAATAAAGAAAAAATTAATATATGTTCAGAGACTAACATACAGATTAGCATATTCATAACTGTTGAACTTACATGAAAACTAATTGTAACATATGAACAAAGATAAACAAGTGTAAGAGAAGACCTGTGGAAGTGGATAAGTGTTCAATGTATGAAGAAGCACTGGCTTTATCATAAGTAGTAATTCTACCTATAAGGTTGGAACACGCCTACCAAAACAAATGGAAGAGGCAACTAGCAAGTTAAGAGCGGACCAGACAAAAAGACTGGAGTTCAAGTGAGAACATTTTTTACAGAGGGAAAGACAAGAAGAACACAGCTCAAGCACTGGAAATGGAGCAATTTCTCATATTTGCAAAGACATCTACCGAAGATAATTGAACCCAAATTGATTTTACTGAGTCTTACCCTTCATTCTTGCTCTATTTTCAAAATTACTAAAAATGGTTGGTTGTGTCTTTTACTGACCAAAGCCAAAGTACGTATTAAATCTCATTCAGCAATTATTTATGTAAGAGTTTCATAATCTCCAAGGAACTAGTGTTTGATCCTACATGTCAGAATGAAATATTTACCGAAAGTCCCAGAATTATTGTATATTATCACCTAAAGTATAGGAAAATGTTGGGGTGGCTATATCAATATCAGTATGCACCCACTACTGTACATTTTCATGTCTAGATAACACATCCAGGTGACATTATAATGAATTGTGTTGTGTGTTCATCACAGACAGACCTTCCACTTATCTTGATTTATAACTGTGATCGTTAATTTCACACAAGAAATTTATGCCAAGTGAGTACTATATAAAGGTTTCATTTATTGGCTTGTGTCAATCTATATTGGCTTGAGTTCACAATATAGTTCATAACTTAGTGAATGAGGCCAGGTGTTTGTGGGTTTTCATACTATTAGCACATATCTCAGGTTCTCAAGAATTAAAGTAAAACCAGAGATTACAGCTGCTGAACATATTATAGTTTTATCTCAACACAGCATTGCTTTCAATCCTATGAGAATTATCTAGTTCCTGAAGTCCTCAATCACTAGCAGGGAGTAAATAGTCTTGAAGAAAATAGTAATAACCCAGTTTATTCTATATTGTCCATGCCAGGGAAGAAAAAGAAAGCAACAATCCAACTGCAATAAACTAAATTACAAGTGTCATTTGTATTTGGCTACCTGTACATCCTCAAACATGGGGGAATATGCTTTGCTAAATCAAAAATTCAAAACCAAATAGTGATTTTCTCGTCAATGAATGTGCTGGGCAAGTCAGCACAAAAAGTCTTAGATTTACCCTGCTCTTCACAACCAAACACTTCATCCTTTACAACAACAACAACAACAACAAAACCTACTGTGTGCCCATCTTGGACTTGACATGGGCTCAGTACTAGACTAGCCTTTCTGAAAAATGGGCTGTGACACAGTTTTACTGCAAAAAGGCATTCCAAATTTATATTTAAAAGAAGGAAGCAGAGAAGAAAAAGAAGTGTTAAAACTGCCACTTTTTGATGATGCTGGATTATGCTAGAAGTAAATAAAGACAAAATTCTCATCAAACCTCACATTAGTTCTTGAGATTTGGGGGAATGCCAGATTATATAAAGAAGTTAAAAAATAAACAGGAAGGGGACAATATTTTCTGCACTAAGTGGTTTAGCAGTTGGCATATTCATTAGTAACAAAAGATTAATCATATTAAAAATTACAACATAAGGGCTATGCAAATTTCCTAGAGCATAATTTAACAAAGTTTATCTGGGCCATTATTTATGATACGATGCATGATATGACTAAAGACCCCTCAATGTAACTCATGATTAATATTTGAAGAGGAACTATAACACTCCAGTGCCATTCTTCAAATCGACAGCCACTTGTGCATACAAATATTTACTGAATGCCCACTATGTTGCAGGATCTATTCTGATACCAGTAATGGAGCAATGAACAAGATATATGAAGCCGTTACTCTCCCAGTGTTTGTACTCTAGTGGAAGAAGGAATGCCATAAGTACTCAGCTACATAGTATATTCACAGTGGCAGGTGTAATGGGGTAATATAAAGCACAGAGGGAGGAGTATAGAGAGTGCTATTTTATATAGCATTGTAGAAAAGGCCTCATAAAAGAGGAATGGTTAAGCAGAAGTCTCAAGGACATACAAAAAATAAAGCAAGGCTGGAGGGTGTCCAGACGAGAATCCCAGAATGGCAGACTTCACATACTCAATGAACTAGAGGGCTCTGCAGTTAAAAGGTAGTGAATAAGAGAAAGCATGGAAGAAAGTAATGACAGAGAGGCCAGGGACAGACCATGGAGGGACTTTGGACATCATAAGCACTTTATTCTCAGTAAGACGGAAAGACTGTGGAGCTTTTGAAGTGTGCTAAAATGATCTGACTTTCTTGTTGAATAATAGAACTTACAACCATTCTGAAAATACAACTGTAGTCAATCAAGGGAGATGATCAAAACATTTCAGGTAGAAGGGATAGCTTTTAGGAGAGTGGAAGGTGTTGAGAATTGAGAATGAGCCTTCATACATATTGTCAAGGTCAAACTGACAAGTTCTTCTGATAGACCAGATATGAAATGTGACAGAGGGGCAGATTCAAGAAAGACCCGACATCTCCTGGCCTCTGCACTTGGGACTTACTGAGATGAGGAATAGTACATGGGAGCAAGGTTTGAAGGAAGAAAACATGAACTGGAATTTGATTACATGAAGTGTGAGACACAGTTAACCAGCCAGGTTGCGATGTCAAACAGGGAGCCAAATATGAGCATGGATATGGGAAGAGCTCAGTGGTGAATGCACATACTTGGGCCCAACGACCTAAAGTCAAAGCACTGGCAAGATCCAGAGTATCATGATGACACTAATGATGAGCAAAGCATCATGAGTGATATTGAGTCAGAGCTCAGAGCAATAGTAACTAATTCAGTCTTTGTTTAAAAAGGAATGTCAGGCTACTTTTTCCAGCGAAAGGTATTTATAAAATGATATTATTCCAATATAAGTAACTTTCCACTAAGAGAATAATATTGATTGGGAAAGATTCCAGGAAATTTCCTAATGAACATTAGGATAAATAAATAATATAATTGTTGGGGTGGGGATTTTGGATGTGTGGTGCCGAGGAGAAGACACCACCTGTTTGAATTCACATTCCGTTTTGGACAGACTGGATTAGAGCTGCAGCTCCACTTCCAATTCTAGCTTCCTGCTAACGCACACTCTGGCAGGCAGGGAGTGATGACCTAAATCTCCAGGCTCCCTATAGTCTTCATGGTATGGTAACGTTGAGTTGTAGTGTCCTGGCTTCAGCCAGAAGCAATCCTAACTTTCACTGGTAATTAAGGGGCAAACCAGAAGACATAAGATCTGTCTACATCTATTGATCTCTGTTTCTGTCTTTGTTAAATTTTTAAAGACTAAAATAAAAGATTTAAAATATCATGTGAAAACCATCCCAAAGTGTAATTGTGTGTTAGCCGTGCCAGTGATAATGAGCAATTTAGGAAAAGTGACATGAGTGGCAAGACAAAAAATGACAAAAATACTGTTGTTATATTTACGTCATTCAAAAACTTTTCATCACAAATGAAGAATTTATCTCTCTTACAATATCAAACCATTCTTGTTTCTATTCTAAATCATGATTTTGTTTTTCATCAGATCAACACAAATTGAAGAGATCTTTCCATTTGCCTAGATTGTCATTTGGTTTTTTTTTGGTTTTTTGGTTTTTTTTGTCAAAGATTATTTGGCTGTATCTGTGTGGTTTCCCTTCTGTTGCTTCTATTCTACTCCATTGATCCTTCTTTCTATCTTTGTGCCAGTACCAGTCCATTTTGATAACCACCCAGGGGAATTGAAATGCCCTCCTAGGCCAAGAACTCTTAAGTCATCCATTCCCTATTGGATCCCCCACAGGGATGGAAGAAACCCAGACCCTTCCTCACAGGATCTAATGTCATTGGAACAACAGCTGGAAGCCCTGAGCGGTCCTCAGAAACAGAACAATAAACTTCCTTCGGGACTCCAGAGGGGAACTTTCTCTGGTCCTTACTTAGTTCCAACTTTGGATCCCCAACCTCTCTTGAAATGACCATCAGGGTTGCACTGGAGCCCCGCCCCCCAAAATTAGATCAGATAGACAGACACCAATAAGGAAAGCTTAGAACCAGACAAGAAACAGCTTGGACTCACATACACCTTACTAGGTAGGACATAAAGATTAATTACTCCTCACTAAGACATTGAAGATTTCTCTGCACACCTCTCCTAAAACTGTTCTGCACCTCAACATACGCCTTGTTAGAGTTATAAGCTGGTTTGGACTAATCCTAAAATTTGCCAAGTTCAGTAAAACTTATGCTTCAATATTATAAACTGCTAAATATAAAAATGAAAATAGACACAAGACAGCTGAATAGTACCCTATAACCATTCTAAGGTCTCTAGCAGCCAGTTGTGTATAAACTAAAATTCAAAAGTCAGTGAAGTAGTCACAGGATGTGGTTAAGAACTTGCATTTTCTAACATATTGGTCACTCAATACCATGTCAATTAACTCTATAATGTTGTAAATTGTTGTTGATGTTATGTTTTGGCATTTCATTGGACGGGATGATATTCTGCCAGCTCTGCTTTCAGACCAGGGATGGTCTCCCCAAGCAACTGTTGAATTTATCTGGACAATAAGATGCTGGACTCTATGCATGGTACACACTCACAATGAAGGAATCATAACTGGATATGAACTGTACTACTGCAATAATGTGGAGGAATCCATCATGGGGGGAGAGCACGGGAAGGAGTTGGGGGAATCCCAGAGCCTATGAAACTGTGTCACAAAATGAAATTAAATTTAAAAAATAATAAATAAATATTTATATAAAAAATTGTAATTCAGCTCAAAGTTAATTAAGCCAAATTTACCTTAAGCCAGTGTCATTGCTTTCCTAATTCTAACAAAATAAAAATAACCAACTGTTTGTGTACATGGAAGGAAGACAACTTAATAAAACACATTAGTATCTTCTTGAAGCATTTCACACTAAATGTAGACACATACACACTTACACACCTGTGTACACATTTATCTTAAAACATACTAATACAGAAAAAACAATCTGTAACCAAATTAACATATTCAGTCATTCCATATGGATAGCCTCTTTTCAATGAAGCTGAATTTCCAGTTTCAAAAATTAAACCTGGGAGTTTAACAAATAAATTTCTAACAAAGTGAAATTGTTATACTAGGTTTACATAAAACAATGAGCTATATACAATAAAAAGATTTCTTGGTCCATTGTAAATATTGAACATTAAAATGTCATGGTGGGGTGATACAAACTTTAATCAATCATTAATTTGAGAGCTCCAGTCAATATGGCTAAACAGATTTCATCTAAGTTGGAAGCCTTCAGAAGGTCCTTTGATTTACAATGCAGGCCATGTGGCATATTCGAAATTCACTACCAAGGGCCCAGCCCAATGGAAACACTACCTAAAAGGTTCTGATGAGTAGGAAAGATGACCATGATGCTTAGTCCAGAAACAACACCTGTCCAGAGATGAAGAAACTCCCTGTGTTACCCAGCACAGCAGTGGACAACGTTCTGAGTTTCAGCCAATGCTTCAGGAAGGGGATTCCTCACTGAAGCAACCCCTTGGCTAAATGTTCCAGGGCAGGGATTGGCATTCTTTGTGTTAAAGACCAGAGAGTAACTAACCTGGGTCAGAGGGACCACTTTCCCTACTACAGCTGCAGATGTGGCCTCAGGCAGCCAGGGAGAGTGGCTGTGCTCTGAAAGACCAGTCCCCTCAAAGCAAGCAGCAGCCAGTCAGGTTACAGGCCACAGTATGGTGTCCTTGATTCAATACCTACAGTTTTCAACATTTTTATTTTAATTCTAGCTCTCAGGAAATATTTTTTTTAATATTATACAGATATCACTATATGAGGCAGGGCTTGAAATTCATGAAAATGGCCCATTAAGTTTTTCACCAACTATTACAAGGATCCTCATATACACAGTTGTGTTTCACAATGGAACAGTTTGTGATTGTGATAACTTCGCCGTTTCAAAGTGTATGGTTTTGCAGGTTTCTTTTGTTACACCACCATGTTTATCTCACAAATGACTAATAATCCACACTTCGAGAACATCAGCTTTAGAATACAGGGTAAATAGGACACTATCTTTTTATAAGCAAAGATGGAAATTTCCTCATAATCTCTAACACCTACTAAATTCTATTTGTCATGGACTGACCTATGTTCTAAGTAATGTAACAGTTTACAAAGAGATGTTGTTTCCCCATAGTAATCAACATCATAGCAACTTCCAACCAGTGGTAAACCCCATTCTCTGCAAAATGCAATGCTGTAATTTTAACGTATCTGATAAGACTACCCTGAACATTAAAACCTTGGCAGTGTCTAGATAGAACAAACTAAGCAAGTTTTCAATCATTGTTATTCTGATAATTAAGCACCAATAAATCCTTTTGAAATTGAACTCAAGGGGCCAGTGTCATGACAGGGAGTGTTAAGCCATGGGCTACAGCTCTGGCATCCCATGTGGGAGCATCAGTTCCAGCCCCAGCTGTTCTGCTTTTTTTTTCCACTTGCTGCCTACGCAACTGGAAGGCAGTGTAAGAAGGCCCATGTGCTTCGAGACCACAGGTAAATCCAGGACCCCGGCTTTGCACTCCTAGCACAGCTATGTGACCATTTGCTGAGGGAGGTAGTAAAACAAAAAATCCTCTCCCTGTCCCTTTCTGTCACTTCTCTTTTTCTCTGCCCCTCCTTCAAACACAATCAATACGTTTTTCAAGAATTAGCAATACAGTTATATTATAATAACATCCATTTTTAAAATAAAATCCAATTCTTTGATTAATGAGAGATTACCTCACCTAATGTATTTAAACTAGGGAAGCTCATAGTGAAGATTCATCATGATAGTCAAGCAAAACAGTGAACTGTTAATGTCCCTGGCTCCTCCATCCCTCACCAAACAAAAATCAGAAAGGACCCCTCTGTACAACTTTAGCCTCAATACAAAAACACTTGCATGCTGACATCAACTTTTACCATTAAGTGACCTAGAGAAAACACAGCAGAAAAGAATTCAGGAAATAAAAAAGGTATTTCAAATATCTACAATTACTCTGCCTGAGCATTCAGCTAAAATCTGACACAAACTTTCACAAAGCCGTTTAATCATTAGGAATAAGTCTGCATATATAACAACTATTTTGCACATCAAAATAGAATCTCAAAGATAACACACTGAAGTGCTTCTTAACATATCTAGTTTAACTAGTTAATTTACCTTGTCAGAAATTAACAACCATGGGTACATTTGTAAGAAGAAATGTTTTTACCTTCTTTTTCTACTCTGAAGACAAAAGTTCTCTGTGTTGTAACAACTTCAAATTTGTTGTCACCTTGAACTCGTACTGTTGATACGGCAGACAGGGGAATTATTCCCTTTGAATACATCTCCTGGGTGGTTACCAAAAAAAACATAAAGACAACACATTAAAATGAAATTATTTGCTCTTATCAAAAGTGGTACAGTACTTAAAACAGCTTCTGCTTTCCAATTTCATTTCAAATTTAAAGCTATATACAAATACTATGTATTTTATAACATTGCTTTAGCTCAAAGAAAGAATTATCAAATGCTCCCTTTCTTTTAATGATATGTTTGTCTTCATCTGCAATTAAATAGGAAAGAATTAAACACAGACCATCCCACTACACCAGCCAAACAGACTTCCAAAAACCAGCAGCATGTTCTTTACAAACTGCAACAAACCCTTTAAGATAATCTGCTCAAAATGATTTGACGGTGTCTGCAGGCATCTGCTGGCCGCAGCAGGTACTGTAACTGAATCATTTCTAACACAACTGCTACTCATACACGGCAGACGGAACCATGCCTAAGCAGCCTGCTGGATCCTGAGTTAATCATACCACTCAGATCTCAGGCAGGGAGGATCTTCATCTCAGTCACACTCTATCGCTTTACTTGTTGTATCTCACAGCTTAAAAAGACAAAAACAATCCAACAGGGATCGGCTTGCTGCCAATTAGTGCACAGACAATTTTACTCAAGATGGCATTTTAAAGACTTCAATCGTTTTTTCAGTTCACATTTTCTCGGCCTTAACAAATCACTGACTATGATCAGCACGTAATCTTAACCACTTATTTAAACCTTAATATTTACGGAGTCTTGTATTGAAAAGAAAATTTAAGGTCCTTGCACATCCTAATATGATTAATCTTTTGTTACTAATGAATATGCCAACTGCTAAACCACTTAGTGCAGAAAATATTGTCCCCTTCCTGTTTATTTTTTAACTTCTTTATATAATCTGGCATTCCCCCAAATCTCAAGAACTAATGTGAGGTTTGATGAGAATTTTGTCTTTATTTACTTCTAGCATAATCCAGCATCATCAAAAAGTGGCAGTTTTAACACTTCTTTTTCTTCTCTGCTTCCTTCTTTTAAATATAAATTTGGAATGCCGTTTTTGGAGTAAAACTGTGTCACAGCCCATTTTTCAGAAAGGCTAGTCTAGTACTGAGCCCATGTCAAGTCCAAGATGGGCACACAGTAGGTTTTGTTGTTGTTGTTGTTGTTGTAAAGGATGAAGTGTTTGGTTGTGAAGAGCAGGGTAAATCTAAGACTTTTTGTGCTGACTTGCCCAGCACATTCATTGAAGAGAAAATCACTATTTGGTTTTGAGTTTCTGATTTAGCAAAGCATGTTCAACATGATATTAAAATAACAGCACAACATTAAAGATCTTGAAAGTGAGACTATAGAGACATCCTTAAGGAACATCCTCTTTTCTTCTGTTCCAAGTATACCAACAGTCAGTAGCACAATGTAACACACCTGACATACAGATCCGAGTCCTCACTCTTCTATAAACTCTTGCCTCAGTAGATAGTTTTGGTAGTCGTCGTCTACATGGCACTCTATTAGATGGAAGTCCCTCCTCAGACAGTTGAAGGGAGAGAGGATCCACCATGTCTTTCTGGTATTCCTAATTCTCCAACATTTTTGTCTCTTTCACCGGTTCTACTAATAATCTCCAATCTATGCATTAATGTACCCACAAAACCCCTAACCATTCTTCAATGCTACCTTTTTTTTTTCATTCTTTTATTATTATTTTATGATACAGTTCCATAGCCTCTGGAATTTCCCTTACCCCTCCCATGCCAATCCCTTTTCTGCCCCCACTGATTTTCTCTATATTATCACAATACTACAGTCCTTCAAAAACAGTCAGAAGTCCATCATTCTGCTGTCTAACGTGTATCTTGATATTGTAGGCATTAATAATGGTAGAGAGTGCAGCATCTTACTGTCAAGATACATTCAACAGTTTCAAATGAAGTCCAACTTTGATTTGGAAGCAGAGATGCATATTGCAAAGTATCCTCATTTCTGGAAATGACAACCTCTATTATACAGCTACTCCATAGCCCCTTAAATAAAAAAGCCACAAAACAAAATCAACAACATTGACAATTTAAACATAAAGTTAAATAGCATGCAAGTGAATGGATTGACCAAAGTGCTGCTGAAGATAAAAAAAAATACTATGGAAATTAATGACAGAAGAAAAAATTTGAATAAATTAAAATAAAAACAAAAACATCAAAACCCATAAGCAAAAAATAGCATTATAAGGGACATTTACAACAACAGGTGATTAAAAAAAAAAAAGTATCTTAAAGACAGATACACAGAGAGAAGGAAATAGAGAAAGAGTTTCCATCCACTGGTTCATTCCCCAAGTGGCTGCAATGGCCAGAGCTGAGCCAATCTGAAACCAGGAGCTTCTTCCAGGTCTCCCACACTAGTTCAGTGTCTCTACACTTTGCACTATCCTCCTCCACTGCTTTCCCAGGCCACAAGCAAGCAGCTGGATGGGAAGTGGGGTAGCTGGGTTATGATCACCCATAGGAGATGCTGGCACATTCAAAGGGAGGATTTAAGCACTAGGCTATTGCACAGGGCCAACAAGAGTTGCTTACAAAAAAAAATTGAAATATTTCAAATAAATTATCTAATAATACATCTCCAGGACTTATTAAAGGAAAAATGTACAGGAAAAAAATGATTTTAAAAAATCACAGCAAAAATAAACAGAATTGAAACTAAAAAACTACACATTGCAACAAGAATGATTTTTAAGAAGATGAAGACAACAAACTTTTAGCCAGACTGGCAAAGAAAAGCAGGAGAGAAAAACCAAGTAAAATTAGAGATGAAAGATAAAGCATCCTCATTAACTAGTAAGGTGATCTCTTCTTGCTGAATGGATCCTTTAATCATTACATGGTGTCCTTCTTCATCTCTTTTAATATCTTTCACATCAAAGTCTGTATTATCTGATGTAAGAATGGCTACAGCACCTTTTTTTTTTTTTCCCATTAACCTGGAATAGCTTCTTTCATCCTTTCACTTTAAGTTTCCTCAAATCTTTGTTGGTGTGATATGTGTCCTGTAGGCAACAGACAGCATGCTAATCTATGACACTAGATTGCTGAGTTTAAGTCGCTTACATCCAGGGTTAATATCAACAGGTAGTAACTTGGTCCTGTCATTTTAGCAATGGGTTGTTTGTTTCATCTTCTGTCAATTTAATGGGGCATTTTCCACATTTCTCATCGGTTTTGGTAGCTGTTATTCCTTTTCTCTGTCTAGAGAACATCTTTAGGCATCATTTATAGGGCAGGTATTAAAGAGGCAAATTTTTTGAGCTTTTCTTTACTGTGGAAAAATTGTCTTTCATTTTCAAAAACAAAGGAAAGCTTTACTGGGTAAGTTATTCTGGGCTGATAATCTTTTTTTTTTTTCCTTTTAGAATCTGGAATATGTCACTTCATTCTCTTCTGGCCTGCAGAGTTTCCACTGAGAGATGAGCAGTGAGTCTAACTGGGGTTCTTGTATATGTTAGTTGATTTTTTTCAAATGCATATTTAAGGATCTTTGCCTTTTACTCAGCTAAAGAGAGCTTGATTATCATGTGTAATGGCAAAGATCACTTTTGCCAACACTATTGGGAGTTCTGTGCCCCTCCTGTACTTTGTTTACCAATGCTTTCTTCAAAATTAGGGAAGTTCTCCTTTATTTCATTATATATCCTATATTTCAAATGAATACATTGTTAAACCCAACTTCTTTTTCTGGGCCTTCATAATTTCTTTTTATTTTTTAAGTGATTTGTTTGGTTTTTTTTAAAGATTTATTTATTTATTGGAAAGTCAGATATACAGAGAGGAGGAGAGACAGACAGGAAGATCTTCCGTCCGATGATTCACTCCCCAAGTGAGCGTAACGGCCGATGCTATGCCGATCCCAAGCCAGGATCCAGGAACTTCTTCTGGGTCTCCCACATGGGTGCAGGGTCCCAAAGCTTTGGTCTGTCCTCAACTGCTTTCCCAGGTCACAAGCAGGGAGCTGGATGGGAAGTGGAGCGAAATGGAGCTGCCGGGATTAGAACTGGCGCACATATGGGATCCCGGCGTGTTCAAGGCGAGGACTTTAGCCATTAAGCCATGCCACCGGGCCCGGCCTTCTTAATTTCTAATGTATCAGCTTTTATTTGATCCACTGCTGTTTCGTGTATATTATTTAAATTGCTCCAACACCTGTATGTGCCCCTCATTATTGATAAAAAGCTTTGAAATAAGTTTTTAACTTCCTTATCTCTCCTTGCTTGATGTCTTCCTCAGTTAATTTTTGCTCCTTTTTGGGAAAAGCATCAATAATAGTCATTGTGCCACTCTTTTTTTTCCTCCTGGTCATTGTTATCTTGGTTAGCAGAGTCCTCTCCTTGGGGCAGGTTTCTAAGCTATACTGCCTATTTCTACATGTAGATTTTACTGATTGAGTTCAGTATCAGTTCTTCATTTGCAGTCACTTATGCCACTCTCCCTAGCAAGCTTTAGTCCTGGGCTCTTGTGCTAGGCTGCTAGCATAGTCTCCATAGTCCCAGCTCCTGACTCACTGCTTTCTCCTCCCTGTGACCCTGTGCTATGTCTGCACTATTGCCTGAACTCCCTTTCTCCCACTCCCAGGTCAAGCAGAGCCAGGGATTGGGGAAATGCCAGCTCTCCTAAATCACTGGGTTTTCAGTGGTGCTGGTCTTGCTGGAGCCTGCTGGCCATTAAGTCTGAAGGCCATCCAGACCTATCTTGGGTGGAACTCGTAGGATGCCAATTCAGTATTATTTACCCTGTGAGACTAGAGCAATGCATTGGGCCAGAAATAAATTTTCTCCTGGCTTAGCACCTGTGCAGCTCACTATTGTTCCTCCAGCCGCTCTGCAGCCTTTACTTCGGGTGTACAAAACAGTGCCCAATGTGGAACTGGTCGGGGGGCTGAGAGGGAGGGGTAAGTGTCTGAAATGTGAAATCTCCCTGTTGTTGCACCCCTGCTTGGGCTCTGCCACTCTGCTTCTGTTCATGATAGAATTAAGCAAATCAGCAAGACAGGCAATTCTATGCCTGTTTTCAACTCCTTGCCAACCACTGACCACCCAATTACTAAGGTATCTGATCACTGCAATATCACTCTGCTGTCTCTGCTGCTTGCCCGTGTTCACAGGTCTCCAGGTGACCCTCTGCCATCAGCCTGTCCTCTCCTATTTGCTGGGACTGCAACCTCTCTACTTTACCCTGGCTATGATTCTCCATCTGTTTAAACATGTTCTTACTCTATTCTGCCATCTTATTTCTCCCACCAATGCTATCTTAAACATCCAGAAGGCCTAAAGGCTTTCAGATGTCCTTTCATGTAGCCAAAAGTGAATGTGATATTTTAAGTATGATTTTAAAAGAATTACTGAGTACCCTATAAAAATGGAAAAGGATGTTAAGAAACAAAAACTTTAATAAACTTTTTCTTCTGGTTTACATTATTCTTGTCTTATCTCCTCTTTACCAAATCCTTTTCTCATTAGTTCCAACTACCAATTTTGTCAAGAACAAATAAAATCTCTACTTTCCTTCCTTCCTTCTCTATCCATTTTTCTCATTGCCACTCCCATACTTCAAGGTATCATTGGTATATGAAATCAGCAACTAAATACCTCAAATCATGGAACTAAAAATTTCCTTCTACACAAGGCCATTAAAATCTCTCTCTTCTAGACAAAAAATAGGACAAATGGCCTGCCAAGTGTTCATGGTTTGCCTTCCATGACTTAGTCTCTCACACATCTGCAATGTCCACTTACTGGCTACTTCCTGCCACCACTGATTCTGAACTCTAATTACAGCGGCCTTCCTGAGGTTCCCTGACCACACATCTGTCCAAGCCAACATGTCTGCTTGCACTGCTTGCTCTGCAGAAAAAGTTCTTCACACACACCCATCATCACTTGTTACTGCCTCCTCTTACTTCGCCACCAACATGCCCTCCCAACCAAAGCATTAGGAACCAGCGTCTTCTCTTTGGCCCTCTTCCTGAACAGTTGAGCAACTCCACATTAAGCTCACTGCAATCTGCACATTTCCTTTAGAGCAATTACTGATTGCAATTTAAGGAGTAACTTTATTTATGTCTGCATGATTATTTGATCCATATTATCCCCCCCAAACAGACTACGGATGATTTATCTGTTTCCATTAGCATTTTCATAAAACTGGTTCACCACAAATATTTTCTGAATGAGTGAATCCCATGCCCAATCAATCACAATCAAACCAAATCCTGATGGGACACTTTTAATATTTTGGAATTTTTTTTATTACTTCCACTGCCAGTATATAGGTCTGCACCCTGGGAAATCAAGCTTCTGCCTTATGTAACACTCTCCTGATTCCTCAACTTTCAGCCTCTTTTGCTTCTAACTTTCCTATATATAGTTGTTTAGATTGCATAACACTGGAGAAAAATGTAAGCATTCATTGAGGTAGATCCTAAATTTGCCCAGGACCTTGATGGATACAAATGGTCAGAAGCGGGTAAGAGGAAAGATCATGGAGGAGAAAATTACGAGGAAAGAGTTGTTCCAGTCCCCTGCCAAACCAACCTGTACACAGCCAGACACAATTACAAAAAAAAAAAAAATTACAAATATATGACATAAATGGTATAACAAAAGAAGCTCCATGAATGCATGAAGGATAAAAGGGTAACATGAGCCAAAACTAAACCACTAAGTCCTTTAGAAATCGAGAAGACAAAGAGAACCTCACTCAACTGTCAGGGAATACAACAGGAGAAAGGAAAGTCAGAGCGTTTTTAGGACAAGGTCAGAGCCTCTCTGTTAAAGGTCGAGATTGTCTATGGTAGCTGAGATAAAATGGTAGAAAATTTAGAATATTGAAACTCATTTATAGTTTCTTCCTTCAGCCATTTGTTTCCAAATTCAGTCTTCAGAAAAAAAAAAATTATTTGGGGCCTGCAATATTTGGCTCAATAGGCTAACCCACCACCCTGTGGCACCGGCACCCCACTTAGGCATAGCTCATGTCCTGGCTCCTCCACTTCTGATTCAGCTCTCTGCATGTTGCCTAGGAGGGCAACACTGAATTACCAGAAATTATCTCTCCACTAATAAGGATGCCACTACCAACAGAGATGCACTCGTGGTACAGAAACCACTTTCACTCCTGAATGGTCTGTTTCCTACCTTCACTTAAAAAGCACAGGGACTGAAAACAACCAGTTGTCAGATTCCATCACTTACACTGGACTCAGCCAAAGCCAACACATGCTGTCTCCACATTGAAACACACTGGCAAACCAGACCCATTAGCTACAAGGCAAGGGCAGCTTTTAAAAAAGATGCATCTCAGCACCTTAGAAACCTCCAATGAAGGTGGATCTGATGCTTTATCTGGACCTTCAAAGCTCTCGGCAGCCCAGCAGGCAGAGTGTGCTTGGCTGCAGGATACACTACTTCCCATCTGAAAGCACACACTTTGCTAACCTGCAATACTGAAGCGGTAATCTATGAAAGGAAGTCTCAATCTCTATTCGGGTCACAAATGTCACCATTATTAGGCCCTGACAATCTCTACATAATGAAGACTAAGGGTAGACCATAAGTTATGAAGTAAAACAACTGGCTAAGTCTTAAAATGAGTATGGTAAAACAACAACAACAACAACAAAAATCATTGGGAAAAAAATCACCTGATTTAACTGAACTAAACAGAAGGAATATTTCTTAGTTCCAACACTTAATTAGGGAGATGTTCAAAAACAGACAAGTTGAAAGTAGCACAATGAACAACCCAAAACTTCAATCTACAGTAAACGAATTCCATCTTCAGAATTTGCTTTATCTAACTCTGCAGGCGTTCAAGTTTGTGTATCTGCAGAGATCAACACAGCAAGCAGGAATATTTGAAAACCATTTGCATGTGGCACCACATCCTTAAATATTCCAGACTACATCTCTGGAGAATGAAGACATTCTCACACCAACTCAGACACGCTGAGGACTACCTCATTCCATTAAGATGCCATTTGCCAAAGAATACACAATACGGACTTCAAAAATTCACACACACACAAAAAAAGCTTTACTAAAAGAATAAGCTTTTTGATACAAAGAAAAGTGTTCTCTTTAAAATATATGAAATACACTGCAATCCAAAGAACTACACCTGGCTTTTAATTTTAAAATATCTGCCACTGAAATATTTAATTCCATTTTCCATGAACTTTCTGAAACACACAATGCATAGATACATTTATTTTCATTTGAAAGGCAGACTTTAAAGACAGAAAAGGAGATACAGAGAGAAGTCTTCCATCCAATGAAGATCACAGCAGAAGGAGCTGAGCTGCTCTAAAGCCATGAGTCAGGAACTTCTTCCAGGACTCTCACATTGAGGGTGGCAGGGCCCAAGGACTTGTGCTATGGTCTGCTGGTTCCCCATGTCATAAGCAGAGAGCTGGATTGGAAATATCCACTGGGACACAAATCAGCACCCATATAGGATGTTGGTGCCACACATATAGGAATAAGCTGCAACACTAGCACAGAGCCCCCAACAGTCAATATTTTCAATGAGCTCTAACTCCAAAAACAGCCTACTTAGTCTCTTATGAGTCTCTTTCTCATCTAGTCTACAATTAGAAAAAAAAAATTTGTGCAGTCAAATTTGCAATGAGGGTTTCAAAAGTTCTTTGAGAAAAATGAAATGAAAAAATAATTAGCCACAAAAATTTTGAAATCTGTGAAGAGCTTTTATTTTTCATGAATTTCATGAAGTCTTCATGTATACGCATTTCAAAGTGTTTCACATCAAAATAAACAGCTTATGTTTATCTTAAAGACAGAGTGAGAGGAAAGAAAGAAGGAAAGCTTGATCTTCCATCTCTGGTTCACTCGCTGAATGCCTACAACAACCAAGATTGGGCTGGGCTGAAGCCAGCAGACAGGGACTCCATTTGGGCCACCCTTTGGAGAGCATGGATGGCAGCATGTGGGCTGCCAGTCGCTGCCTTCCCTGGTGCAGGCTTAATGTGTTGCTCTTCAATATCTGTCTCAGGGAATATCTTCTAATTAACTTCCTATAAACCAAAGTGCTCTTTTACACGGGCTGCACTTCCCCTCTGGGACCCTCACTGTCCTCCTTGATAATAACCACTTTGTCCCTGCTTCCCCTTTTCTTCAAGTCCCAGAACATATGAGATCTCAAGCAAGCCCCACCCACTCCTGGAATACAAACGCTATCTCCTCACTGTGCACTTTTCCCCTTACAGAATCGTTTGTAAACCCTCCTCGCCACTGTTTATGAGGATGGCAATTTCTTATTCATCCCTATCTTGTTCACAACAGTTGCTAGAGTTTACAGGAGATCCTCTACAAATAATTGTAACCCTGTGAGCTAAAAAAAAAAATCTCAATTTTATGCCTCAGGAAAAACTTAAATTATGAAAGAGCATTTTATTACATTCGAATTCTTTTCATGTTGATAATCCAACTCCTGTTCTTGAAAAATCAAACTGCTGGTTCAGTACTGAAGTACATTTGGCTTGCAGAAAGCAATCTTTGAACACTGTAAAATGCACTTACCCTTTCATTGTTGTAGTAAGAAATGCTAAGGCCATCAAATTTCACCCATCTCTTCTGAAACATGCGTTTTCTGTAAAACATGATGAAATTATTTTACACTTAAGTACCACAGACTGGGATTTCAAATGCATTTGTAATATAGTCATGTTGAAAGCATTCCTATTTGATTAAATAACACAAACAACAATGGCTTATGTTAAAACAGTTTTTGCAATGGTAGACAGGAAAAAAAGATACGCATAATGACACTATCTAGTCAACTGACAATTGTAGTTTAAAAACCAAAACTGTCAACCATGTAGGCATACCAAGGATAAGGTAAGACAAACTGTTACGTACACTGCACAATGAATCCATTTCCATTAATGAAAGTAATATATTTACATAGACATCCCTTTCTCATTAAGCTTATACATTTAATTTTAAAAAAAAAAATTTTCCTTTGGGCCATGAATAATGTTAGGATAAAATTACAAGGCTTTGTCAATTGGATTATGTAGGCAGTTATTTAATTTTAATTAAATGAGCAGAAAAGCCTTCAAATCTAGACAATCATTTCTGATCAATCAAAATTCAATCTAACATTAACATTTTTGAAAGAATAACATAAAAGGCAATTGCAATTTAAAATGGTTACAATATGAAAACTGAAGGCGTAGTAATATCACGATGAGTTTCACGCATAGGCTCAAAGACACTATCACTCAGACTGTATTTGGAAGCATGCAGAACCACTTCTGCTTGGGGTTGTTTTTTATTTTCTTTTCCTTCCCAGAGATCGGAAAATCCTGCAGTTTGAATATCCTATTTTCTATATGGCTCCCACTTCAAACAGATGCTATCTAAAAATGTTTAGCCCTTAACACAGATAATATAGCGGAAAACACTTCCTGTTTAACTTAAAAATACCATTTCTAGACCAATAGGTAAACATCAACCATGTTTACCCTCTTTTTTGCACGTCCCTAACACATTTCAAGAATTGGTATAATTTCCTGTGACTTTCAGAAGATTTCAAGAAAGAAAAAAAAAAAAAGAACTTCTGGAAAAGTGGAAAAGCAGCGAGCTTGTCTCACAGCCTCTTCCGCCAACATAACACAGCTGTTACTCAAGGGAGATACACCAAGTCTCCCACATGAATCATTAGCAAAGTTATTCTGCTGAAGATAAAATTAAACCAAATCTTGAAAAAGGGAGAAAACTTTCACAGCTCACCAGTGCAAACACCATTTTCACAGGTAAACTCTGAAGTAGTAGTTACAAAGCAATAACAACATGTAAGGACAGGAATATCAATAAATGTAACTGCCTGCCTGCCCTTCTTCCATATTGGTCTTTCATCTTTCCTCATCTTTTTAACTTCTCATTTCCTGCCTGCACTGTGTTCTCTTCCAACAGCTTTACAGATCTGTTTTTTCACTTCTTTTGGTAGTCCAAAGAGTTCTTCAAATTCTCAACATTCAAAGTTGAAAGGCAGGGCTAATGTGGCACAGTGAGTTAAGCTGTCAACCATGGGAACACTACCAATGCCACCTGAGAGTTAATTCAAGTCCCAGCTACTCCACTCCTGATCCAGCTCCCTGATAATGTGCCTAGCAAAGCAGCCAAAGTTGGCACAAGAGCCTGGCTCCCTGGAAATCCAGGCTGCTGGATTTGGCTTCAGCCTGGCCCAGCCCTGTCCCTTACAGTCAGCTTGGGGGTGAACTAGTGGATGCAAGATGTCTTTCTATTTCTCCATCTCCCTACACCCTTTCCATAACTCTGCCACTCACATAAATAAGTCTTTGTTTTTTAAGTTTAAAGGTAAGAAAATATTAAGTAGAACACTAATTATACACTGAATAAATTTAGCACTTAGCATTCATTTCTTATTTATCTTTGTTACATTTACACATGGACAAATATACATCTGTCCACACAACCCTGAGCGAAACTGGTTAACTGCAAACCTGGATTTTCTTTGTGCCTTCACCCTACCTGTATTTTGAATGGTGGTCAGCTAAGGGATTAGCAGCACAATCTTAATCCAATCCAAGTTAGATCATAAAGCTCTTCTTTCTCAAAGCCCCCTCTACTTTTACTCATAGGGAAATAAATGACTTGACAGAGTCTCCAAATGTATATGACTGTTTTGTTTCCTCTCTTTCTATCTTCAACCAGCCCTTACATTCACAAACTCCTAGAATGTTCCCTTCTCTACCATATCATTTGATTGGTAACTAGCAGAAAAACAAATACAGCACCAAGAAAGAATATGCTGAGCAGATTAAGCACCCAGGCAGGGAGAAAAAAAAAAAACCTCAAACAACCAGCACTGATATTATCAGATGCTCTTCAAAGAAGGTTGAACAGAGGCAGGAAATCTTCTAAAAATTCAGAATTAGGGCCTAGTAGTGCAAGATCTTAGTGGCTAAATATTTGCCCTGCATGTATTGGAATCCCATATAGGCACCAGTTCATGTCCCAGCTGCTCCTCTTCCCCTGTAGCTCCCTGTTTGTGTACTGGGAAAGCAGTGGAGGACAGTCCAAAGCCTTGGGATCCTGCACCCATGTGGGAGACCTGGAAGAAGTTCCTGGCTCCTAGCTTTGGCTTAGGATCGGCTGAGGTCAAGCCACTGTGGCCACTTGAGAAGCGAACCACTGGACAGAAGATCTTTCTCTCTGTCCCTCCTTTCTATAAATTTGACTTTCCAATTGAAACAAATAAGTCTTTAAAAAAATTGCTGCCTTACAGATTACACAGTGGCATCATTTTTTCCAAATGATTTTTGTGTTTCCTTTTTGTTGCCCATGTGTTGGATACTCAGTGGCACATTTTTTCATGGTGCTATAATTTGTTGTTGTGGTAGTGGCTGTTGTTCTAACTCATACCAGTTGTTGACCTTGCTTCATGGCTTCTCATTTATGGAAACGTATAGTGATGCAGTACTGGGCTCTACCATATCCAGATGTGGGAGTATAATGCAACATGCATCCCTGCCTCCAGACAAAAGATTGATCCCAATGAAACTGTTGGAAATGTGTACACAATGGGATGCTGGAGTGTCTGATATTGTCTGTACCAACAATGTCAGGATATACTTCAATAAGAGACTGATGGAATTATGATTCCTTACGCAGGTCTATACCATTGTAGCAAGATGGGGAAAATCTGTCAGAGGGTGGGGGCTTGAGGGGGTGGAATTCCAGTCTATACGAAATTGTACCACATAATTTAAAAAATCAAAATAAAAATATCAAGAAAAAAATAAATTTAAAAAAAACCCTCAGAATTAAATTCAACATTTCAAATCCTGCCAAGGGTCCAACTGAAACTACTTTAACATATCTTACTTGAAATTGTTTAATCACAATCAATTGGATTTATGAAGCTTTCTCAAAATCCCATCACAACCTGGATAATTTGCAAAAGGAGAGACATCATCCAGGCACTAAACAGTGACAACCACAAGAAAATAGGGAGAGGAGAAGATGTTAAATAGCTTAGTATCTGTAAGGATTACAGAGCAAGTACACCACCATCTGACTCCATATACATTCCCACTCAGACTGTGATACAGTAAAATACATACTCTTAAGATATTTTTCTACCACTTTAACTTCTCAACTCCCAGATGAATATTTTCACCTATTTCAAACTCAACTTTTAAAAAAACGAATATTGCATTACTGTAATAATACAGAGGGAGAGGTAAGCATGACAAAACTCAGCCAAAAAGAAATGGAAGTGAAAGCAACATGGTAAGTGAAAGTACATCTTCTCTGCAGGAAGCGAGTGTTGTTTTGCAATCTATCATTCAGACTATGCTCTCAGTCACAGCCAGCCTGTGTGTGGGCAAGTGACCTGACACACACTGGCTGCCTCTTTTCTCTATGCCTTTTTTCAAATTCATGACAATTCCAACTGCTTAGAATGCTCTCCCTCTGTGCCCTGGATATGAGCTGCTTCTTTTTCATTTAAAAAACTTAGTTTATTTTTATCTGAAAGGTAAAGTGCAGAAAGAAAGGAAGACAGAAAGCATTCTTCCATCCACTAGTCCACTGGTTCATCTGGGGACCATACAGTGGTACCTAATGGCCTCAACAGCTAGAATTAAGCCAATCAGAAGCCAAGAATCAGGAGCTTCTCCCGGGTCTCCCACATGCATTCAGGAGAATAAGGACCTGAGCCATTCTCTGCTCCTTGCTCAGACCATAAACAGGGAGCTGAAATCAGAAATAGAGCAGTCAGAACACAAACTAGTGCCAATTAGGATGCCAATGTCTCAAGTGGAGAATCAGCCCAAAACACTACAGCACTGGCCTCAAGGTGTTGCTTCCTATTTAGAACGTCTACTTAAAAGTCATTCCCAGCAACCAGTCATTTCTGACTAACACACAGCTTGTTTAGCTCCTTTATTTTTAAGATTTATTTGTTTTTATTGGAAAGGCAGATCCACAGAAAAGGAGAGTCAGAAAGAGCATCCATCTTTTTGTTCACTCCCCAAGTGGCCTCAATGGCCAGAGCTGAACTGATCTGACGCCAAGAGCTTCTTCTGGGTTTCCCATGCGGATGCAGGCTCCCAAGGCATTGGATCATCCTCCATTGCTTTCCCAGCCATAAGCAGGAGTTGGATGGGAAGTGGAGCAGCCAAGACATGAACTGACACCCGCACGGGATCCTGGCACTTGCAAGTGAGGATTTTGCCACTGAGCCATTGAGCCAGGCTCACTCCTTTATTTCTTGCTCCATATCTTTACTTATTGAAATTTACCAAAATCTTTAATTATATATTTTTGCTATTTCATCATTCAACACTAGATGTTAATCTTTGTGTACAGAAACCATCTGCTTTGTTCATCAAAGTAAAACCAGTGACTAAAATAGCTGCTTACCAAATCAAATGTGCTTAATAAATATTTAGTACAGGGAGCAAGCATTCAGCCTATTGGATAAGATGCCTGGATCCCCACATCAGAGTGCTTGGGTTCTATTCCAGGCTCCAACTCCTGACTCCAGGCTCCTGCTAAAAGCAACCTGGAAGGCTTCAGTGATAACTCAAGCAATGGATTCGGTCTTCTCACCCATGC